ACTCTAGAGGCACATTCAAATTGTGTGCACACTTAAAAGGTAACGCCAGGAGGTGTTAGAGTCACGTGAACGCTCCAGGTACCTTTGGTTGACAGATTGAGATCCTGTCTCTGTTTAGGATATTGTGAGCAGAGCCCCCAAATGTAGTAAGAATACTGGAAAAGCTAGTTTCTCTGTAAGAACATTGCTTTATGGGTTTTAATTGAGACCACCAGAAAAATGGAAAACAAAACCTGCATTCCACATGGCATCTTTTTTTTAAGTCTATTTGTGAAATACATGCAACAGCTTGAGAATTCAGATGCACAGTATTCTAGAGATAAAATGTTCTGTTTTCTGGGGGTTTTGCATTAAGTAGTAATTTCAGTGATCCCATGATTTGTCACTGCTTAGCTCTTCATACTTTCCTTGCCTAAGTACTTGATTTACACTTTACAGTTCTAACTGAGCATCAGTGAGCCACCGAGGTTACCTTTGAATAATAAGCCTCTCTCCACACCACAGGTTTCACGACCGAACCTGAGCAGGTGATATCTGCTTGCGGGTGATATCCTCAGGCTTGCTCCGTTAGCTCTTCGTATCCTCCAGTCCCTGGACTGGAAAGATCTGGTTCTCTCTGCACTGTTTTATATTCGTTGAACATTAAACTACTTGGCATGTTGAAAGCTGAGATAAAATCTGTACCTTTTGCTTTACAAGATCATGGTTGAAAATCACATTTGTGGCCAGCTGATAGAGGGATTTCCATGTATGGAGTCATTGTGCTGATCAAGTACCGTGTGTGCAGGAGCTCACTGACAGGTGCTAGACCCTGGGGGGCGGGGGAGGGGGAGCTGCCACAGACTGAGAAATGTAAAGTAGATTTTCACAGGTTAGGGCAAAAAGATGCAGAGTTCTCTGTCGTTAAAGTCAATAAAGTTAAAAGAGCAGCTGCTTTTTTGTGAAAGTTAATTTTATTTAGCATGTGCCTTGGTCCCAGCAATAAAAGTGGTAGTTCTATTGGAAACCTGTTTGTTCTACAGCTGTGTCTCTTTGTGACTGTGAAATCTGTTTAAACTTTTTTGCCTTTTCTTTGAAAACTTTATACATTGCTGTGTGCCAGCGGCTCACTCCTGTAAGCCTTGCCACTCAGGAGGCTGAGATCTGATTTGGGTTGGAAGCGAGCCTCGGTCAGCAAAGTTTGGGAGACTCTTACCTCCAATTAACTGCAAAAAAGCCAGAAGTGGAGCCATGGCTCACGCGGGAGAGCCAGAGGCTTGAGCAAAAAAGCTCAGAGACAGCGCCTCAGCCCCGAGTGCAACCCCAAGCTGGGGTGCGCCCACAGAGGTGACACATAAGCCTTGTGCCTTTAGGATGCCCTTGACAGCAGGTGCTGTCCATCTTTTCTTGTGCCCAGATGAGGAGCCGATTCCGATGCAAGCACACGAGAGTCGTTCATTGCAAGCGCGATCTGGACTCACCCCCGTCTTCCACACAGTGGATCTATAGGGAGTCCGGTCCTTCCTCTAGCAGCATTTTTTATATAGGGTTTTTAGGGACTTCTGTGCGTCATCGCAATACTTAACAAATCATATCACACAGCGGGAAAATCATAAAATAATTCTAAAAGATGATTCGTGTCACCAGTGGCGGGAGCCGACCAGGAACTGGGGATTGGCTGGTTCACAGGGCTGATGCTCTTCGAAATGATTGGCCGGAGTGGATGGTCTGAACCCTGACCTTATCCTATTACCTGCCCACTAGCTGCGGTTATTTTCTGTAAAGGGGGTTGTTCCTGGAATTTGGCCGCAAGGGATCAAGGGTAGTTGCTGATTGATTTCGTGGAATTTGGGCTCAAGAGGAGTACTGACACAGTTCCCAACAAAATGGAATCCAAACCTAAAATTGCTTTATTTTGTTCAAGTTTCACACTTTAGTAGAAAAGGCTGGCATTCTGGATTTTGAATTGATGTTCTTGGAAGGTCAGTAGACCCCCAGATCCTGCATGAAATGAGGACAATGCACAGATTTTTTGAAAATATTTTCTATTTATTTTTTCCTAAAAATTGAATTTCATTGTAAATTTCATTTACAAATTAAAATTCATTTACAAATGTCATTTGTAAATACACATAAATGCTACTGCCGGAATATTGCTCAGTGAGAATTCTATTTTGCTGGTTTGAGCATCACAATATCATGGGAAAAGAAAGGACCTAACTTATTACCTACCTGGGTTTCCTTTAAGGCTCAACTTCAGTGTTAGTGGATGTGGCTGTTCCTTTCAAGCGTTGTAAAGAGGTTGAAGGAGTGAGGGAGGCTAAAAACACCAGAGAACAAAATTGAGTTTTAGTTTAAGCAGTGTTTGATGAGTAGTTTGGGAAAAAGGACTTATTATTTCTAAAAGAAGCCACCTCCCGTTTTCAAGCGATTGAAGTGCTTTTGTTTTTGAAATGTCTGATGACTGTAAGAACCATTTGCCTGTATACTTACCTCCCCATCTATGCTGTTCCCTCTCTTTGTGCCTATCATTTGGAAAGGGAAATCAGGAAGAAATGTTTTCCTCCAACAGACCCCTTCCTTTATCAACTGTTTAAAACAATTCTGCTGCAAAATGCGTCCTGACAGCAAAATTTCCTTCAGGGTTTGAAGAGCAGAGTCGGCTTTGTAGCTGGAGCCAGAACGCTTTCCTCAGAGAATATCCCCTCACAAAGTGAAAATCATTTAATCCCCGGGGGGAGGGGGGAAGTATTTTATCTCTAGAAAACTGTGGTTCTTAATTCATTGCAAATGTGCAGCAAGAGTTGGAGGTGCCGGTTGTTTTGTAACTGCTTGTGATCGGTGTTATAACACTTTGAAGTCCACTGACAAAACTTTGTTGCTCCACGTAAGGCTGGTAAATCCTGGCCGATGTCTCTAGTCACTGATTGTCTTTGCAGAAGACACTTGCGGTTTCCAGAGAGGCACACAGAGAGGAGAATGAACACGTGTCTTCACTGCCCCACTCTGCCCCCCCCCCCCCGGCTTATGGGGTGCTCTCCGACCTTCCTGCTCTCCGCCGGCGGTGCAGATGCACAGGCTCCGTGAGCCTTGACTTCTGAAGGCTCAAGGCTCCGGCTCGTGAGCGCGTACAGTCAGTGGACACGTGCTCTTCCCTGGTTAATCTGACTGGTCGAGGGGGAGCCATGCTCTTAACATGGAGATCTAGTAAGCTACCCCTAGGCCACGTGGGATCTTTGGGCTGTCCTCTGTCTTCTTTCATCAGGAAGCTCTGTGTCATCCGCCTCCTTGGATTCCGTGTGCTCGTGGCTCCTCCCGGGCTGCCTTGAATACCTGGGACCCCGTGTGTACTTTCCCTTCATGGATCTCCTTGCCTCTGTTTTAGCCTGTCCTCCTCAAGCCACTCTCCCTCCTCCCTCAGACTGTTCCAGAGGAAAATGTATGGAAAATGTACAACAATACCCACTCACTTACATGCTGCATTTGCCTTCCTTTGAGAAAAAGGAACGCCACTGAGAAGCTTGAAGCTTTTGTCATTCAGTCTCTTTTTGGCTTCTGACCCAAAATAAAGGCTTATTGATTAGAGTGCATAGCCCCAAAACTTCCTCTTTCCATACTGATCAAGTTTACTTTTATCTACGTTAAAGAGTTCTAATATACATCAAAGGTGTTACATTTTCTATAAAAGAACACGAAACAGCATTGGAGTCCAAATCTATTTAACCCAGACAAGTATTCATTTCAAGTTGCAGAAGAAATGCTAAAATAGATGGTGCTAAAAATCTTTTTATGATGATATATAATTTTCTTGGAAGGCTAATAATTGTGATTTAGTTTAGTTTTAGAGTTAGCCTTAATTTTGCTGAAGTGAGGAATTTCTAAAGCTTTAAGTATGAAGTATAGATAGAAAAATACTTTGGTTTTCATCAATTAAGGAAATTGGTTACAAATTCATGGATTTGTCACACAGTAATTATTGGTTAAGCACCCTTTACATTGCCAGTGTTCAGATGCAGGCCCCATAGCAGAGTGCATGTGAGTAGGAACCCTGGAACCTTAGAAAGAATTTTGAAAATAGGTCCTGGGACCACTTGTCCTGAAAGGTCACACAAGGTCATGGCTTTGGAATGCTTGTATCAGCTCACTCTTAACTGGAAAGATTGTTGTTTGAAAGTACTAATTGCATTGCAAGTTGGAAGGCAAACCTTTTCACTTAGTGCGTTGACTCGTGGCATGGGTTAGGAGTTATTCTTGCCAAGATTCAAACTTAGAGTAGGACACAGGTGGGGGGGGCGCGTGCACACACACACACGTTCTTACTCCTTGGAGTAACTCGATTTACAGTGGCTTAGGCCTACAGGAAGCACGCGCACACACACACACACACACACACACACACACACACACGTTCTTACTCCTTGTAACTCGATTTACAGTGGCTTAGGCCTACAGGAAGCGCACACACAGACACACACACAGACACACACACACACACGTACACATTCTTACTCCTTGTAACTCGATTTACAGTGGCTTAGGCCTACAGGCAGCACACACACACACACACACACACACACAAACACACGTTCTTACTCCTTAGAGTAACTCGATTTACAGTGGCTTAGGCCCACAGGAAGCCCCTGCTCTGGAGTTCATCGTCTCAGGATGCCTCACCGAAAGTGGTTGTCAGACATGTGTCACACACAAGTCTCTTTTCTCCTTTATATAGGGCTGGTGTGTTCCCCAGTGGGGGCTCCCTGGGCCCAGCCTCTGGCGCTTTCTTCTGCTTGTGATCCTTCTTTCCAATTCTAAGCCCAGGGACTGACCTTGAGTCCTTGGAACCAAGCTTTAATCACATAATAGAAGTCCTCGATTTAACAGAAAGAAGCGTCTCCCTCCGTTTTGAATCCTACCTCCCTGCCTGTCCCCTGTGCCTAGACTGGTTTTGCACTTGGCACTCCCGTCTCTTCTGTGTTTGGTCCTTGCTGTACAACTGTACCAACGCTTGTGTCTCCTTTCAGTTAACCACCAGGTCCCTGCCCACTGTGCAGTCAGACGAGAGACTCCAGCCTCTGCTCAACCACCTCAGGTAATAGAAGAGCACACCCCGTTAGCTTTTAAGCACAGCGTGTTAAAGTGAGCGCGGCGCCTTCGCAGCTTTGCATCGTACTGAATGCTGCTCTCAGTTACTTGTTACCCTTGATGTGGATGTACAGAATACCTTTCCCTCAGTGGCAGAGTAGAGAGCTACTTGATGGCGTACACAGTAATGTTGAACTTCTTACGTGAGCACAGGACACAGGCATTCTCTCACTGGGGATGAAGTACATGAGGCTTGTTGTCTAAATACAATAATAATACAGCCCCATTATTAAAAAATAAACTTTGGAAATATAAAAAGTGGCAAAACCTTCATATGGTTTAAAAGAAATATCTCTTCTGTGATCTTTTAAAACGCAGTGTTGAATTTTATAGACTTTAATTTTTTCCATTTTATAAACATAAATCATTTCCTTGTTAGGGGTAACAATGATTGACTAGTAATGTACTCATTGGCCTTACTCATGTAACAACCCCTCTATACAGCATCTTAACAATAAAATGAAAACCAAAACAACAGCAAAGAAGAATTTCCTGAGAGGGCTGCATGGCTGTGGGGTCCCATCTTCTGGGGGTTTGGCCATTGTCATTTCCAGTTCTTCTCCCTACAATAAACAACGCTGAGTGCAAACCTTTGAGCATTTCTTAGGGATAGATTTTCGGAGGTTCAATTCCTGTGTCAAAGAGTATGTACCATTTTAAAGATTTAAGGGCGCGCGCGTGCGCATGCGCACATGTGTGTGTGTTTTCAAGTCCTTGTTCTACTTACATTCCATATCATACCAGACTACTTAGAGTAAGATGAGACACCCAAATAGTTGCTGATGCAGTAGATTAATCACAGTGTGATTAAATGCATTTCAGTAATGATTAATGACTGGTAGACACTGGGTTATTTCTGTTCTAGAATAAGAGTAACACCTATTCTTTGTTCATTTATTAATGGCATCTCCAGATGCCATTATTTGATTTCATATACTTCAGATATAAAGGATAGTAACTTTTTGTTTTATTTGCTATAGACAATCTGTCTGTCTGTCTGTCTATCTATCTCTATCTGTCTATCTATCTATCTTATCTATCTACCTATCTACCTATCTTTGATGCCAGTTCTGGGGCTTAAGCTCAGAGTTCAGGCACTGTGGCTGAGCTTTTCTGCTCAAGGCTTAGCTTTTTGGTGTTTAGTTGGAGTTTATGGATTTTCCTTCGGTGGCTGGCTTCGAACCACAATCCTCAAATTTCAGCTTTTCCTAAAGTTTTTTATGATCCTTTGTGATGTTAAAAGGTACACACACACACACACACACACTTTGTGACACTTAGCTTTCATTTTCAAGTTTATATAGTGAAGCACCAGTAATGAACAAACCCCATGACTTCTTTAAAGCCGTAGCTTACTGCTGCTTGCTCAGAAGTTTGTATAGATTGACTTTGTATCTTTATTTTCTTTTCTCTTTTTTTCCCTTTCCCTCCCTTCACTTCATTTTTTCCCTCTTCTTCAGTTAACTTTCCCTTTTCAGACAATACTTTTTAACCGTTCTTAGCACAGTAAATAGGGACTGAGTTCTTTACCCGTACCTGTTCCCTTTCCTGGAGCTGTTAGTGGGATCAGAATCTGAAATGTCATATCGAGTCCCTTGCCTACTCCAGTCTTGTTCCCATCCACATCTGTTGCTGATGAGACTCCTGCTGTACACATGGTGGCCTCTTGTCTGCTCTCCTTGACCTCTGCTTTGCTGTCTGTGATGGAGTTCCTTGACCTCTGCTTTGCTGTCTGTGATGGAGTTCACATCCTTGCTGTCTATTATTTTTACGTTGTTCTTAGCTTAAGACCCTTCTCTGCTTTGCTGATTTCATTCTGCATAAAGCTTGAATGAACTCTGGTTGCTCTGTGAAGCCCTAAGGGCCCTGACCTGTCTATCTCTCGAACTCTTTGAGCACTGAGATCCCAGCATCTCATTCATCAGAACCATGGAATGACCTGGGAAGGCTTGCTTTTCTCTGTGCCCTTGCAGATACAGGCACTTTAAGCCTGTGTGCCCGCGCCTGTGTGTGTTTATATATACAGACATGTAAACATTTTTGTACTTTCCCTCCTCCCACCTCTGTCCTTTGGCCAGCTGTTGCTTGTCTTCCATGCTCTTGGCAGGTCTGCACAGTGCCCCGCTTCCGCCCTGGGAGCACAGACTTTGATGTCTGTACTGTCTGTTTTCTGTCTGATCTCCCCCCGTTGCTTGAGCCGCTGCGGAGCCTGTACACTCCAGTTTATATTGACAGTTACTGGAAGAAGGTCTGCCACGTGGTAGCTGTTTAGTATGGGCTTTGTTAAATGAAATGTAAATTATATCAGTGATGTTTTATCGTTTTTATACATAAAGTTTTTGTGTTTTATAAATCATATTGTCAAAAATTTTGCCCCTAAGTATCCACTGGTTCAGCTCTTGGCTGTGGTTAATATTGATTCTGTGCAATAATGATGGATTCTCCTTCCTGCATCTCAGTATGACGAACGTCAACTAGAATTTAGATTAACTACTGACACATCTTTTTGAGCCCTTGAAACTGGCACAAACGGTTCCTTCCTTTAGGGCTTTTATTCTCTGTGGAGTTCACTCACCATTCGTTGCCAGGCAACTAGGGATAGATGCTACATGTCATATGCACCAACTGATGTTGCTCTTTTGTTATCATTAATCCAAGGCTTTCTCATTTTATTCCCATGTCAGACACCTGTTTGCAAGGTGGCAGTGATGTGTGTTACTGACACTCCGTATTCTACAAAGCAAGGGATGCCTTGGTGCATATGGAATTGTCTTTTTTAACTGTCCAAATGTTACCTTTTATAGGTGGAGATAGCAATGAATATTAACTTGGTTTGAGAGATTTTAGTGATAGTCTTGTTAGTAAAAAATTACTGTAATTGATTTGCATGAACTGTGATTTAAGAACTGCCTGGACTCTAGAAGGTGGGGAAAGAGTTCATTGTTAGGTCTGCTTTTGTGTAGTGCTGGTAAGACTCAAGGAGGAATAATGAATAGACTTTTAATTATGTTCATCAGCAAAACTAATTTGGAGTGATATAAATGCCTCTAAAAATGGAAGTGGCAAAGTAGAAAATCCTCAAAGTATTGTACAGGACATAGGCGCTAGAATTAATATCATATTTTGCTATACCGATAATCTAGATGTGTTTACTAATGCATGTTTTTGAGACTGGAGAATGGATATGTCCACATTTTTTTTAGGCTTAATCCAGTTCTCTAGCTACAACTTCAGTTAACCACAGGTAGATGTTTATTTTTCTTTATCACTAACATACATCCATGTACTAATTACTGATTGTTCATGTGGACCCTAAATAGAAACATCCTCTGACCTGAGAGTCGGGCCTTCAACAAGTCATAACACCAAGAACACAATTTTGTGTAGTTGTTTCCTCATAACGGGCCACGACTTACCTGTTTTGCTTCTGTACTTACTGGCGCAGAAGTGGTACACATTGGAGGCTCACATTGAACTGAACTTGAATCTCGCTTGGGGAACGTCATCTTTAGCTGAGAAAGTGAATCACAGAGGAGCAGGGGCTGGGAAGGAGGGTGGTGACTGAGTTGATAGGTTCAGTCATTTCAGACATTCTCAGCTTGAAATGCCCATGGGACTTGCGTGGGCTCTGTGGGGATGTTTGGGAGTGACTAATCAGAGTTTGCCATTACCCCTGAATAGGCCTTGGAGTCCAGGGAGTGGGTAAGAGTGAGGGCAGGCAGAGAAGGGAATCCCGGTGCGGAGAGGAAGGGAAGAGGAAGAGGAAGGGAGGCATCTCACAGTAGAATTCTTCCTCCCGGGGCCTCCTGAATGCTAGGATGACCTTTGTACTCACCCTGCCCAGTTTAACCTATGTATTTAGACAAACAGTGGCTTTTGTATGTCTTTCCCTTTGCTAAAATTATTTCAGTTTGTACCTGCTGTCCACACAGAGAACAGCGCAAATATCTCCAGGGGATGAGCCAGGGGCCGGCATCACAGGAGGCTCGGGGGGCCTCTTGTGAATTGGTGGGTTCTGATTCATGTCTCAGTTCCCTCTGCTGTGGTGCACTTCTGTGAATGAGGGGTAGATGCCTGAACTTTACTAAAAGTGTGGTCAGACCTGACCGAAATGGAAGCAGCGCCTGAGACTGGCAGTCAGATGCCCAGGCTGTCACTGTAGTTTTGAGTTGTTTTTAGGAGTTGCTTAAAAGTAGTTTGTCAAGTATATTATAAAATGTGACTATATTTTGCTGATGTTTGTGTGGAAAGTGTTTTCTTATGACACTAATTTTATCAAACAAAAATATGTGCTTCAAAGTGATCAAAAGTGTTATACAAATCTTGTTTTAATAATTTTTTTCTTTTTTTTTTTAAGCCATTCTTACACTGGCCAAGATTACAGTGCCCAGGGGAATTCTGGGAAGATTTCTTTAGACCAGATTGATTCGGTAAGCAACAGTCATATTCAACTTAGATTTTTTTAAGTGGTGGAAACAGATTTACTTCAGGAAGAACTTGGGTAGGAAGATGGGAGAGAATGTTACCTCTTGTAATCAGTGTTAAAGAAAAGCTCACATCTTCTGTTTCTTGTTCTAATGGATAGCTCTGAGCAGCAGCCACCATCTTTGGTTGCTGTACTAAAGGACAGCTCATTTCAACTTCATTTCATGTATAGTTCCATAATTGAATGTAAGATGATTGCCTTTTGCTCTATTTTTGGTTTTAGAATTTTCCTGATATGTAACAGAATTTACATCACAAAAAACAAGCCAGCATAACTAACCTTTATGTAGATAATTACCAAATTATTCACAATCATTAAAAATACAGGGAGATTTTAGTTGGACCTGGTGGCGTATGCTTATAATCATCGCTCCTTGGGAGGTGGAGATTCAGAGGATCAAAGTTCAAGGCCAGCCTGGACAAAAAGTTCAAGAGACCCAGTCCCAACCAGTTAGTAGCTAGGTCCAGTGGTGCATGGCCATCTCCAAGGTCCCCTGCCCGGCGTCCCCGTGGCCTTGTATTACGGAGTAGTTGGAAGATAACTTTGTGCCTGACTCCAGCTAAGTGTTTTCCCATTCACAAACTTGTTTGGATACTAAGAATGTGATCCTGATTCGTGTGGTGAATGTCTGTTTAACCTGTTGATTGTGCACCAACCACTGATTATGGACAGACGTGAATACACAAAATGTTCTTACCTCCATGGACCTCACCTGGGGAGACTAGCCTAGTAAATAATATGTGACTGACCCAGGTGCCGTGGTGGTGGTGGAGTCCCTGTGCTGAGAGCCGTGTGTCCTTGTCTTCTTCCCTGCGCAGTGTCACAGCGGCACTCCCTTAGCGCATGCTAGGGTCCAGCTTCTTCGCCAGCTGTGACCGCTAGGTTCTTCTTCTAACTGAAACCTGACTCCATCAGCCACGCTCCCTCCCTGCTTTCTGCTCCTGTGCGGGGTGGGGTGCTGGCCCCATCTGTGGGGTCTCTTCTCTGACTCCCTCATCAGAGCTCTGTGGAAGTCCTGTGCCATGGCTGCCCCTCTCCTCACTGAACCCCTCACTTCTGCATTTCCACGGTCGTTGGCCGTCTCGTCATGACGGACCCTGGCCTGGCCCCGTTCCATTGCTGCGCTGCTGTCAGGAGTCCCTGCGCTGTGCATTCTGCGCTGTGCATTCTGCGCCCATGGAGTCTGTCACTGTGTGACAGCCCCAGTTCTCCGTGCTGTCAGCAGACTGTCAGACCCGCTGTGGGATCATATACGAAAGCCCACGAAGCTCGTTCCGTTCCTGTCTTCTGCTCTTTCACCTCGGCTTGCGTGCTCTGCCACCCGGAAGCGTGGCCGTCCCGGCATCCCAGCTCCTCCCACGCCGCAGCTCCACTTTCATGTCTTAATGTGGCTTTTCCTGTGACCCGAGGTCGGCGTCACGTCTGAGTCTAACTGGCCTACCATCTCCCCCGGGAGGCTGCGCTGGCCACCAGAGGGAAGACACCCTCCTCCTCTCCGGCTCTGTTGAAGCCAGACTTCACCTTCTCTGTGTCCAGTCATTGTCTGCTCCCAACACACAGTACGCTCTTGGAAGATGCAAACCTGAGGTCGTTTTCCACGGCTGCGTCTCCAGTGCTCTCCACGTGACAGGTGCTCAGTAGTAGCTGGGTATTGAGTAAAAAGGAGTCAAGGCTGACGTTGAAGGATGCCGTGCATGGTGTGGCCTTGGCAGGTGGCCTGGGGTCAGAACGGGCACCAGGCAGGGCCTGCAGGGTGAGCAGAGTGCCTGTACGCAGGGACGGTGAACAGCCAGCCAGGCAGGCATCTGTCCTGGCGGCACAGCTGGCCCTGCCTGCATAGCACTCGATGGCCCTGGATCTGTGCCCTCCCAGAGCTCTGAAGCGCTCCTGTGCTGGCTGTGGGTCAGTGACTACAACACGCTGGACCCTTTGCTGCACTCAGTGAACTGTGTTTTAGCTTCTTGTTTTCTGTAGTACTCGCTAAATGTCCTCTTATATGGAATCAAAAGGACGTTATCAAACATGGAAGGGACTTGTTTGCTAATGGTGCTAAATACTGATTTTTAAAAAATATTTTATTGTGAAAATACCATACAGAGGAGTTACAGTTACATGGGCAAGGTAACGAGTACATTTCTTATCAAGCATTGTTGCCTCCTCCTTTGCTTCCCCTTCCCATCCCTTCCCATCTTCCATTGCCCCCCCCCCCCACAAAGTTGTAAAGTTGGTTTTATGGGACTGCCACGCGCGGTGAGCCCCACACTCTGCGGGGGGGGGGGGGTTCCGGGGAGGCGCAGGTCCTGCAGCCAGCCTGGATCCGAAGCGGCAGCTGTTCTCTTCAAAGGATGCCAGGAAATCAGTGGTCACCGGCGAAAGTGGCAGGGTCAGAGGAGGCCCGCCCCTCCTCCCGAGGGACCCAGCGGGCCCTCTGCCTGACCCAGTGCGTTTCCTCCCTAGCTTGCCGCCAAGTCCTTCCCGCCCTGCATGCGCCACCTGCACAGGGTCCTGCGTGAGAACCACCACCTGAGGCACGGGGGCCGGATGCAGTACGGCCTCTTCCTGAAGGGCATTGGCCTCACCCTGGAGCAGGCCCTGCACTTCTGGAAGCAGGAGTTCGTCAAAGGAAAGATGGACCCAGACAAGGTAATTCTGAAAGGTCAGGGTGGTAAGGAAAAGTCCCTTCATTCCAAAAATGAAACAGTTGGCTGATGGTAAGTACGCTTGCTGAAACAGAGTTGAACATTCTAGACGGTAAGTGTGTCTGAAACCTCAAAATGTTATCTAATATGTGCTCAGTGAAAAATGGTCAGTGGGGTCCTCTTCGGAGGGTTGCACCACAGTAATTACAGGACAAATCACTGAGTTATCGTTCTGCGGGAGTGTGTGGTTTGTGTCTATGTGCTCAGGTGTTGGGGTACCATGCATGCACGCGTGCACACATGCACGTAGGCAGTGCACACACACACATAATACCATCTGGAGGACCAGGTGATGCTCTGAACAAATAAAGCGAAAGTGGTTTCAGTGTTTTCTGTTGTGTTTGCAGAGTTGCTGGGCAGCAGTCGCTCGCTGTCAGTCTGCCTTTAACCTGTGCAGAGCACTGAAATTCTCTCTCCTGCTCCTGTCATGCTTTATCTGAAAATATTTCCTGAAAAGAGTAATACAGAATTGAGAATGTTCACCAAGAAACTATAAGTGTCTCGTATTAGTTTGCTAGGGTTCCCATAGCAAAGTCCCAAAGACTGGTCACTTAAACAACAGAAATTTATGTCTTCCAAGTTCTAGAGTCTGGACTTCCAAAGCCAAAGTGTTGGCAGCCCAGGACCTCTCCAGCTGGTAGATGGGCTGCACTAATGCCATCTTTGCTCTCTGCATTCCCCTTGGTTCTGCTGCTGCTGCCTACAGCGACATTGAGCCTGTGGTCCCATGCAGCCTTGACCCCTCCTCCAGCACAGACACTGAGCCTGTGGGCCCATGCAGCCTTAGCTGCTCCTCCAGCACAGACACTGAGCCTGTGGTCCCATGCAGCCTTGACCCCTCCTCCAGCACAGACCCTGAGCCTGTGGTCCCATGCAGCCTTAGCTCCTCCAGCACAGACATTGAGCCTGTGGTCCCATGCAGCCAGGACCCCTCCTCCAGCCCAGACACTGAGCCTGTGGGCCCATGCAGCCAGGACCCCTCCTCCAGC